AAACGACAGCCCAAAACCGTGCAGCCTGGCGTGGAGCCATCAGCAAGGGAGCGGCAGCGTATGAATCACGGCGTCTGGAAACAGCGAAGAGCAAGCGCGAAACAAGAAAGTCCCGTGCAAGCAGTGCTCCCGCAATTCATGACCCTACCGCTACCTTGCCCTCACTGCCCAAGGACCTTCAAACTTCAAGGCGAAGATTGGCTTTACCATCGGAGACCTTGTCAATTGCTAGAATAAGAAAAAAAAAAGAAAATTTTCAAACTGAGCATAATGTGGTTAACACAAACAGCAAAACAACCAACCAAACAATCCTTGGATCACATCAGACATTATCGCTACTATTACTAGGGAGCGATATGATTTCAAAACTTGAAATCTTTGCACATATATCTAGATATCTATATTATATAGAGAAGCTAAGGCTTAGAGATCTTGAGCATGCTAATTTGTACGTTTCTGACCGAAATTCAGAAAGGGTGAAAGGTTTTCTGTTCCAAAAGTTCGCCAACTGCACACCTTTCTCAAACAAATCTCAAAATCCAAAAAACAATATTTAAAAAACAAAGAAACATGATGTCCCACATCAATCTAATTATTAGAGTGACTGATACATTTATTTAGCACTGGTGCTAATCACAACGCGCCATTTTCTTTTTTGAAAAATCAAAATGCCTCCCAAATTTTATCCTAGATCTAGATAAGATCTAGATTCTAGATCTTGACCTACAACAACATAATTAGGGTTGGCTGGACAGTACTTTAATTCTACGACTTCAGGGTAGCGGAGGCTTGGGAAATTAAAACATGATGCCTTGTCTTGGCCTTGGCAACGTTGTTGCCATGGAGACTAGATTCTAAATGTAGATCTAGATCTAGGCTATAGATACTAAGATAAATCTAGATCTAGATTCTAGATTCTAGATCTAAAAGACAACATACCACTATCTTAGAAAATTACAGTCTATAGATATCCTGCTCAGTACCTAGAACTAGAATCTAGATCTAGATCTAGACTAGTTTTGAGAAATTTGACGTGAAGAATTTCGAGTTTCACAAAACGTCAAGGTTTTTCGAATAGCCTAGATCTAGATCAGGAATCTAAGTCTAGTGTTTTGACAGAGCAGATAGATCTAGAGTCTAGATCTAGATATAATCTAGATCTAGGCCTGCCTAGATTTTCTACAGAATCTAATACTTCTCCGATCCGTCAGCAGTTACCCGGCATCGAACGTCGAAGCCAATTCTTCTTCCTTTGATGTGCAGATCTATATCTAGAATCTAGATCTAAATCTACGGATTCTTCCCTAAGACAGTCTGTAGTAAAGCCATAGGCAGAATGTGGACTCAGCTGATAGCAAACTGTCAACAAAGAATTTTAAATGGCAGCGCGTCATCGAACTTTGAAAATGGGTTGGACTTCGGAACCTAAGAATTAGAATCTAGTTTAAGATCTTTATCTAGAATCTAGATCTAGAATCTAGATCTAGATCTAGATTCTATACAATTTGTAATTTTGTCTAGAAGGGGGAGTTCCCGGAAAATTCATGAAGCTATAGCGCTTGAAGGTTGAAATAATTTTAATTACGAAAAAATAAATTGAAAAGAAAAAAGCGAATAATAGCAAAGCGAAAAACATGGGACATAACAATGAAACAATTGAAAAGAAAGAAAGCGAATATTAGACCACCAAAAACAAGGGACATAACAATGAAATTAAGAAATATTAGCCTGCTAATTACTCCCCTTTACGAGTCCAACGACGTCATCGTTCTTTGTCTACTCACATACGTCATCATTCGATGAGTACACTTAGATCATGAACGTCATCGTTCTTTGTGTTAACACTACGTCATCATTCAATGAGTACACATAAACGTCATCATTCAATGAGTACACATACACGTCATCATTCTTTGTGTAAATACTACGTCATCATACAGTGAGTACACATATACGTCATCATTCAGTGAGTACACATATACGTCATCGTTCTTTGTGTAAATTCTACGTCATTGGTCATTGTGTACACATAAAATCTTTACTTTGATACAAAAGCTAGATTTGGTTGTATCGTTTCGCTAAAAGCACGTGGGTTAGCAGAGCAGTAATTATAACGCCTAAAATATTATTTTAGAGAATGAATGACTTGTAAACTTGTTTTACATTGGAAATTACCTTCTTCTGTCTGTTTAACGTAAAATGTTTTTTTTAATAATTGTTTTTTTTTTTCCGTGCGTATTTCCGACACAAGCAAAGATGCTACACTAATTAGTACTTCATTTCGCGGAAGTGGTGTCACCCACTCTGAGACACACACTCAAGGGCGTGAAAATCGCGGATCAACAGACGAATTAGTAGCCAACTTTTCGAGACAGAATAGTGGTTTTTCGAATGCTAGAGCTAGTGGGAAGCAGGATGAGGGTTCATAGATTGTACATGTAAAAGGTGACACGCCGGCCAAGCCAATAAGAGTTAGAAAGTACCCATGTCTGACACATAGAACGTCAAGCTGGGGGCTATTGTAGAAGGCTGTATCTTTGGGTTTTAGCTAAAGGGAAGATAACCCTAAAAATTCATCCCCTTCAGTATTTTTCACGGTTACCTCTCTTTGACCATATTTTGAGTATAATTTCAATCTAATCTGACATAATTTTTCTTACGCTGAATTATTTTGATGGGCTAAATGGATAGAACTCACTTTTCTGAGAAATTTGATACCAAAATCACCAATATTACTTAATTTTTCAGCCAGTTACAGATGTTCAAAGTTCGGTAAAATTTGTTGGGCAAATTCCTACAGGTGAGGCTAGATGGGCTAGATCTAGATCTAGATATAGATTCTAGATCAGATCTATTTGTTGTGGCCTAGAATCTAGATCTAGATCTAGATTAGATATTAGATTCTAGATGTGTAGATCTATTTTTTGTGACAAGTGAAAATAAACCAGGCTGTGTTTGGAACCTCAGTGACTAGATTCTACCTTCTGATCCAGAACAAGATGTTTTGGAAGATCTAGGCTAGATCTAGAGGCACCCGGGTACAATTGCGGTCCTTTTTGTGGGATCGAGTGAACATAGATCATCTAGATATCTATAGATCTAGATCTAGATAGTCTATCCAAAATCTAGATCTAAAGATTTCTAGATTTTAGATCTAGACATCAAGATATCGGCGCTTTTTCGGTAGTTCCCATCCCGCAAATGGGAAATAGAATCCAGAAAAAGCTTAAGTTATCTAGGTCTAAACATATAGATCTAGATCTAGATACTAGATTTAGATCTAGATCTAGATCTAGAATCTAGATCTAGATTCTAAATAGATCTAGATATTATATTAGATCTAACACTAGATCTTTTAGATCTAGATTCATGATAATTAGTTTAGATCTAGATCATAGATGTAAATAAGAAACATGTAAAAATTACTACAGAGGTCTAGATCTAGAATCTAGATCTAGTCTGATTTAGTGCACAGCAAACGGGACTGCAATTGTACAGGAGTGCCCATCACATGTGTGTGCCGATCTAGGAGCCATGTGTTATAGACGTTTTGGCAGTTTTACAATTCCTTCATACATCGCAGGTCTTTTTTCATCACCTCCTTCATGTTTTTTTTTCTGACTGTTCTTTGGCTTAGATCTAGGGCATCGTAGATCTAGAATCTAGACTAGATCTATTTGTTTGCTTATTTCGTTATCAACACCCAAACATTCTCTCTCTCTCTCTCTCTCCCTCCCTCTCTCTCTCCGGTCGACCAACAACACGCTTAACCCAAACCCTAACATGAACCCTTACCCTAACCCAAACCGTAACCCTAACCCTAGGTCTAACCCCTACCCTAACCCTAACTCTTGTAGAGTTTGCTCAGTGGACCTTGTCATGGTAAGTGCCGGCCCTCTGAGGAACTCAATTTGAGTCAATTTTAAGAAGAAACCAAACACTCATCTCTCAGACTTCAGAATGTAAATGGAATTTTAAGAAGCATTTTTATTCAATATTCCCCATAACATTATGATAAATATGCAACCGGATTTTCATAATTTTGAGCTTTATAAGAATTCATAAAATTGTAGGTTTCGATGGTTATGCATTCTTAAGAAATACCCCAGAATAGGCCTATATATGAGTCATTATTTTCCGATTCCACCATTAAAAAATGTGAGATTCCTTTCATCAATATGTGAGGCAGCGCTGTGAAAACAGGTGCTCATCAAATTTAACGAAGTCGCAGACACCGATATTTATTTTCAGCACGTTGAGGGTTTTTTAAAATTGAATAGATACATGTATCAAGTATGTGTCGGTGACACAGTGTATAGGTGGGTGGTCTTGATAAGGTGTCGTCCTGTCCTTTAGCAGCACAATCATGATATAACCACAGACCCTAGCAATGCTGTGGATTGTCTATATATGCTTGAGACATTGTGTAATATTCATGTATTTGTATATTAATACTTTGCCCAAGGGAATGAATAAAATGGAATGTATGAATGTCTTAGTTTGTTTCTGTTTAGGAAGAGTTTTACGGTGCACGCAACTGGCCTACATGATGAGGTCATAATAATTATTATCCGGCCGTATGCAGGACTCGAGTTGTTGTTGTTTTGTTTTTCACATTAGTTCACAGCACTGTTTGGTTTTACATAAGTATGGTTGAGGTTAAAAATTCAAGGCAGAAATTTAGTTGTAAAAACAGTCGTTTAAAATGCAAGTAGTAGGCCTACTATCTACACTTTGGAATATTATCATAATCACCGATGGTCTTTATAAAATTAAAGTTGAGAACTCTGTTTGAATCAACAATCTAGGGACGTATTATGACGTACAGTAACAAGCCTGTCGTCAGTATGTCAAGACTATAGGCTAAAGGAAATAGGATCCAGCCCAAGGTTGTCGTGCTGAAGCAGCATCTAATAATAATATTATGTCGCGGGGTTTCTGGCTTAAGTCAATGGCCGCGCAACGTCATAACTAATGCTGCGCTTTGCGGCGTGTAGTGGTCGTTCAAATCAATTGTATTTCGAGATGTCACTGGTCGTTGGCCATTGGTGGATATTTTAAGAAATCACATGACTTTGTAGTTTGTAATTATTATCAATCTAGGCTATCACTCACAGGCTTCCTGCAGCGGCTTGATAAATAAAAGTTCTAAACAGCGGCAAGTTCAGATCGATGGACAGACAGAGCCTGACAGAGGTAGAAACTGACAGTTCGTTTCTCGTACTTTGTTAGTGGTGCTGGACAGGACTGTTTTCCCCTTGACTGTTTGCTGCAAGTTTATCGTGATTTCAAGCTTTATACTTTATAAGTGGAGTACTGTGCTCACGATATTCTTCTTTCTCAACAACAAGACTTGAACAAGTCCGTCAATTCAACAAAATACCTTAGTAGATCTAGCGCTAGATTATAGATCTAGATCTAGTTCTAGAACTAGAAATCTAGATCTAGCCTAACTTACTAATACTAAAGATCTTGTATCTTGATAGATCTATATCCTACAGTTTCTAAGGAGAACCCCTTTTTGTGTGTTCTTTCACAAATTAATGTAGACTTCTAAGACTCTACAGATCTAGATCTAGATCTAGATTAGCAAACCAATCATTAGAAATGAAATGTAATTGTAGCCAAGGCTGTAGGTAGGAGGGGCCCACCTTCTCTTTTTATCAGGCTATTGTCAAATTGTGGTAGTAGTCAATGGCTCTTGGCCCGACCATTCCAAAAATTTACGATCTGATCGACTATCTATCACTTCTCCTCTACAGAATTTTACCTAGGCCTACCGAAACACCTAGAGCTAGATCTAGAACTAGAATCTAGACCTACAAATCCCCAGGCTAATTTTGTGTTGGGGGCACACTTTGACAAAGTTTGTGATGTAATGTTTATGATGTTTTTTTAGGCTTGTGAATCGCCATAGCGATGCAAAAAATCAAATTGTTATTTTTTATATTTCTTTGATAAATCTCACGAGCATAGAGGGCCTAAAGGAAAACAGAGCGGTGGGGATCACTCAGGTAGTTGCAGGTCGTGTTGTTTAATTAATGCCCCGTTTGGAAACACATGTCGATGGACGGTACTATAGTGTCCTCAACACGACACGTGCGACTTGCTCGAGAGTTTATTCTGAACTGAATGGTCGTGATTTGTGGGTGATTCGGGGAAAACACATCTTAAATGGTCACAAGATACACACAGATATAAAGGACATAACTCATCATAATATAACGATCACAACCACACACAGTTACTCTCTCTTAACAATACATCACATGTACGAAAATATTAGCCTTTTGAAGGTGGCAAAAGTGGGTGTTGGCTATAAAAATGCTGACAAACACTGGCACTACTTTATGCTGTTGATCCAGAGATGTACATTTAATGGACCTTCGTCATATCCTGATCAATCACGGTGACTATGTTTCTTGCAGTAAATGGTGGCCTTTGTTTTAGTGTTTCACCTTGAACACACGGAAAAATACACAAGCCTATAAAATTGTCTTTGCGGTTCAGAAAAGTATATAAGGTGAACAGACTGCGGTCTTCCCACTTCGAATAGAATTTCCTTTCTGTCAGGATCCTTGTAACTTTTCTCCTATTGAGAGACAACATGTCAATGATCATAAGAAATGAAACATCAACAACACATCTGCATTGTTGGCTGACGTAACGTTTCTCACTTCATGCTTTTTCTCCAGGTGTGAGAAGACAGAGGGAAGTTGTTTTGTTAGACAACGGCTCGCTTTACACGTCAGATGATGAAGTTGTGGCTACCACTTTTGTTTGCCGTCTGGCTGTCAGCTGTATGTGGAAGGGACAATAACCAAAAGCGGCCAAACATCATCTTTGTCCTAGCAGACGACTACGGCTTCAACGACATCGGCTACCATGGCTCACAGATTTTCACTCCAAATCTTGACAAGGTAAGATGTAGCATGATGCTGTTATAATCTCCCTCACCCCCCCCCCCCTACACACACACACACACACACACACACACACACACACACACACACACACACACACACACACACACACACTCACATACACACATACACACACACACATACACACACACACACCACGCACACACACACACACACACACACACACCACGCACACACACACATACACACACACACACCGCAGACCTTGTGAGACAATGGACTTCACTATGGAATAGGTTAAACATATAAAGAACGTTATCTCTATCAAAAGTATTTAGATTGAGAAATCTATTTTTATGTTTCATAACACACAAATAATGATACAGCACTAGATCTACTTATTTTGTGTTGAAAAGAATTAAACTTGTATCTCTGTAGAAATAGCAAAAAAGTGCAATGTTAATGTAACTACAAAAAAAGATCCCCATAACAGGTGACGTCAGACAGCCTGGAAGTAAATATTATAAAGTTGTTGCTTTTTAAAGGATACATTTTGTAGTTTCTTTCCTGTGTGATCCAAACATGTTCAATTAAGAAGAGTAGATAGAGAACATTCGTAACATAAGCAAAAACTATTTCCTGTGTAGTGGACGGAAATTAAAAAAATGTCCTTTGTTGAAGTTGAAGGGTGACATTGATAGGTCATAATTCACTATTTATTGTTGTCTCTGTCTGCTCTGTCTTTTATCAGCTCTGATTTGACAATGTCAAGATGCACCGTTTGCTCAGTGACGATAGTTGGCATGACCTGGGCTCAGATTTCTTGCATGGTGTTTTAGAACTTGGGTCGCTTGCAATTGTTTTCACAGCTCTTCACCCATTCAGCTTAGATCTAATACTGAGTGAGGAACACAACATATCTTTTTGATCCTGTCTGTGAAGAAACAAAAGTTTTGAGAATGCTGTTACTCCCTTACAATGTCATGTTCCTGAACTCTGTACCTCCTTCCTCAGCTGGCGTCTGACGGAGTAAAACTAGAGAACTATTATGTCCAGCCCATCTGTACACCCACTCGTAGCCAGCTCATGTCTGGAAGGTACCAGGTAGGTGTTAGTGGTACATTTATATCTGTCCAAAACGGTAGCTCAAAATCGCAGAGAAAAATGACTATCAGGCAGATGATCGCAGTGGACAGTTTGACTTATGTTCACTTACTAAACTTGACAAAGTCAGTATACTATGGTTTGAAATAAGACATTTTAAAATTTGTGTTTCCTTTTTATTTCTTTCAGAATTATTATCTATCTTAAGAGATTTTTAGATTGATTGAACATTCACACTCTGTCTGAAGATGGGCCGGCAGTGTCCTAAAGAACATGGGTTCGGTTCACCCAGACAGACAGGGTCAAGGCAGCCTACCTCCCCAATGATCTAATAGTGTCAATTTGTAATGGTGCAAAACTAAAACATTCACAATCATTTTCCAACTATCATTTTTTTTGTCGACAATGCAGTTGTACTGAGACTTTCTTTTTTTGCTAATTTGTTATAAGACAGCAGTGGTTTCAGGTTCGCTTCACTTGTTGTATGGCTCCTTACAGAATAAAAAAAATAAATATAGGTGAAGGGGGGGGGGGTTACGCCCCCATCGACACAATTTTGATTATGTAATAGACAGGCTTAGACAATGGCTGTCAGGGCCAAGCTGGGCTGAAAGGGATACAACATCCCAGTACAAAGACTGAAATACTGGATAAAAATTCTCCCCACTCGGGAATCGAACTTGGGTCACCGACATGGGGCAGCAAAGCACAAAACTCCAGCATAGTCCCCGGTGTCTCGCTGTATGTGTCTCGCTGTATGTGTCTTGCTATCCGACATTCCGCGTTTTCTGTATTATCTTTCTGTCTGTGTCTGTCTTTCTGTCTGTGTGTCTTACTGTGTGTGTCTTACTGTATGTGTCTTTCTGTCTGTGTGTCTTTCTGTCTGTGTGTCTTACTGTATGTGTCTTTCTGTCTGTGTGTCTTACTGTATGTGTCTTTCTGTCTGTGTCTTACTGTATGTGTGTCTTTCTGTCTGTGTGTCTTACTGTATGTGTCTTTCTATCTGTGTCTTTGTCTATGTGTCTTCCTCTCTGTGCCTTTCTTGTTGTATGTGTGTTCAGTTCTATGTCTACAGTTTTCACAATGAACACACGTTTCTTGTTCTGTTCGAAATAGGTTGTTGATGAAATGTTGTTCTCTTCTAGATAGGTTATTGAGGAAATGTTGTTCTGTTTTGTAGAAATCGTGTGCTTGAATTTTTCTTTCCTATCAAACATCTATCGTCCTTATCTCCCCTTCTTCTTTTTTATGTTTGTTACTCTCTTGTAACACCTCTAATCTTCTGGCGCTCATATGACCTTATGCAGTTGCGAGCGCCCTAAAACTCTTACTAAAACTCTTACTAAAACTAAACTAAAACATGTGCTTGAAAGAGGGTCGTTCGCGGGTACTCTGGTGTGGTTTACTCCTCCTTTCCAGTCAAACATCTAATATCGTGCTTGTATCTCCTCCTCCTTCCCCAGTCAAACATCTAATATCGTGCTTGTATCTCCTCTTCCTTTTCTTTGTATGTCACTCTCTAGTAGTAACACCTTTAATCGTGGGTGGTTGGCGGGTGCTCTGGTGTGGTTTGCCCCTTCTTTCCTATCAAACATCTATCGTCCTTATCTCTCCTCCTTCTTTTTTCTTTTTTGTGTTTGTTACTCTCTTGTAACACCTCTAATCTTCGGCACTTATATGACCTTATTGTGTTGCAAGTGCCGTAAAGCTCATACTAAAACAAAGGGTTCCGTCTTGAACAGTTTTGACTGTAGTTTTGTGTTGTGTGGTCGCTGTAGACAGCTTTGACTGTAGTTTTGTCTCGTGGGGTCGCTGTAGACAGCTTTGACTGTAGTTTTGTGTCGTGGGGTCGCTGTAGACAGCTTTGACTGTAGTTTTGTGTGGTGGGGTCGCTGTAGACAGCTTTGACTGTAGTTTTGTGTTGTGGGGTCGCTGTAGACAGCTTTGACTGTAGTTTTGTGTTGTGGGGTCGCTGTAGACAGCTTTGACTGTAGTTTTGTGTTGTGGGGTCGCTGTAGACATCTTTGACTGTAGTTTTGTCTCGTGGGGTCGCTGTAGACAGCTTTGACTGTAGTTTTGTCTCATGGGGTCGCTGTAGACAGGTTTGACTGTAGTTTTGTCTCGTGGGGTCGCTGTAGACAGGTTTGACTGTAGTTTTGTCTCGTGGGGTCGCTGTAGACAGCTTTGACTGTAGTTTTGTCTCGTGGGGTCGCTGTAGACAGCTCGTCATGTAGCAGGCTCTGTGGAAGATAGCCTGATAACTTTTTCATTTTTTTGATAACGTTTTTTTTTTCATTTTCTGATAACGTTTTGCATTTCTGATAACTTTTTTCGGCCGACCTTGACAAAAAGTGACTTCATGTGGTTCCCCTTCTCAACCCCGAGATAGTCGACTGATGGTTCTTCAACCAGTCGTGCAACTGACATTTACCCGTGTCACGTTTTTCCTACTCTGTGGGGATCCCAGCCGTTTGCCCATGTGATGCTATCATTTTTTCTTTTTTTTTTGTATACTGACTAGAGTATATTTTTGAGTTTCAGTAGGAATTCAAGTTGTATTTTGCCCCGTTGGCGGCTGAAGCCTACTCTCATCGAATTTAGGCCCACCAAAGGATCTTTAACATGCACAACTTGCACACGGGACGTCCGGGATTTTTCACCATTATCCAAAAAGGCTAGGGGATAAATGTTATCCACCCAAAGATCATGGGTCTGGCAGAAAGACAGCAGTAAGAAGGAGCCTGGGGTGGCAGCGGTAGAACGAGTAGGGAGTAAGGGAGAGGGGACCACTGAGGAGGCCAGGGGGGGGGGGGGGGGTGGAGGGAGAAAGTAGAGATGAGACCAGGTGACGGGACAGGACAAAAGATCAGGAAAGAAGGACAGACGGGGCAGTTATAGAGAAGAGATCATATATTTCATCGCTGACTGGTTTCGATCCTGGGACCTTTTGACTGAGAGGCGGGCGCTGTACCACTAGAACACGAGAGCCCCAAGTATGTTAGGATTAGCTTTATCATAAATCTTTATCGTATTTTGATGGGTGTTTTTGTTTTTTTTAATTTAAAAAAAAATTTGTTTTCTCCTGTAGAAAGTTCAAGGGCGTGCGTTACTCAAAGGTCATGTCATATCTGCTCAAATGACCACCTGTCTAAGACAATCACCTGTACAAACGACCACCTGTCTAAGACAATCACCTGTACAAACGACCACATGTCTAAGACAATCACCAGTACAAATGATCACATGTCTAAGACAATCACCTGTACAAACGACCACCTGTCTAAGACAATCACCTGTACAAACGACCACATGTATAAGACAATCACCTGTACAAACGGCGACTTCCCCATTACCCCCTTGTGTTTTTTTATCTCATTGTATGTATTGACACTTCCCTTGAGGCTAACCTGTCTAAGACGACCACTTTTCTCCTTGACAATGGGTGGCTGTCTTGGACAATATGGGTCAGCGGGTGCTGGGTACTCTGGTGTGGTTTGCTCCTTCTTTCCTATCAAACATCTATCGTCCTGATCTCTTCTTCTTTTTTGTGTTTGTTACTCTCTTGTAGCACTTCTAATCTTCGGCACTTATATAATTTATGGCCTTGTTGTGTTGCAAGTGCCGTAAAATTCTTATTCAAATTAAATCCAAAAAGGACAATATGGACTCTGCTTCCTCCGCTATCTACCAGTCCTCGCCGGCGGTGACAGTTTTTGTCTCTAGTAGAATGTGTGGTGTCGATAAGACATGCCTACATTATCGCTCACAGATAAACCAGTTGTTTTATCTCGGGGAAAGTATTTCATTGTGAGTGAAAACAAATACCAAAAACACAAAAACACAAAAAAAGTCGTGCTGATTACTCAGTGGAGAAGAACTCTCGTCTTGTCTCCAGTCGTCAGCGGAATGAGATGTAACAGGCTGGCTTGTCTACTATACTTTCTGGATGCTGCATTCTTTGTGGGGTTTTTGGGGGTCGTTTTCCACTTTTATCACAGATCTCTGCTTGTAGATGGTTAGCGGGTGTTGTGGTGTGGTTTGCTCCTTCCTTTCCTATCAAACATCTATCGTCCTGATCTCTCCTCCTTCTTTTTTGTGTTTGTTACTCTCTTGTAACACCTCTAATTTTAGGCATTTATATGACCTTGTTGTGTTGCAAGTTCCGTAAAGCTCTTACTAAAACTTATCGATCTCTCCTCCTGTTTTACGTTTGTTACTCTCTTGTAACACTTTTAATTGGAGGCATTTATATAACCATATCGTGTTGCCAGTGCCGTCAAACTCGAACTAAAAAAAAAAGATGATTGCTCCCTGTTGTCTTGTGTCCAGTCGTCAGCGTAATGAGATAGGACAGACTGGCTCGTGATGTAACTAGACGCTGTATTGTGGGTGCTTTCTCGTTTGCCTCATTTATCATTGGTCTCTCTGTCTTTGTCTCTGTCTGATTTTTCTCGGTTGAAATAGAATGAACTGCCAAGTTTTCTTCGTGACTTTATAAGAGTTAAAACGAACCAGTAGCCTACATCGGTATAATAATTATATAATATGGCAATTGCATTGTTATGTAAGGGGGGGGGAGCTAGTCAGACAGACAGACAGACAGACAGACAGACAGATAGACAGACAGACAGACAGACAGACAGACAGACAGACAGTGATGAGACAGATAGTCAAACAGACAGACAGACAGACCAACAGACAGACAGACAGAAAGACACTCACACACACTCACACACACACACACACACACACA